AATTTGTGAAGTACACAACTGAGTATGGAGTATATGTAAGAAGAAGTAAGAGTGAATTTCTTATACTATATCTCTATGTCGATAACTTGCTAATAACAGGTAGCTCAAAGAAAGAGATCGATGACTTCAAAGATGATCTCAGTAAGAAATTCGAAATGTCAGATCTGGGAGACATTTCATATTTCCCTGGCATCGAATTCTACAAGAGAAGTAGAGGTTTGGTGATGCATCAAATAAGATATGCTGGAGAAATTCTCAAGAGATTTGAGATGAAAGAATGTAACTCGACTTCGACACCTGCTGAACCAAGGTTGCAACTGTCAAAAGAGTTAGATGAAGATGATGTCGACCTAACCCAATACAGAAGACTTATTGGATCATTAAGGTACCTTTGTCACACAAGGCCCGACTTAGCATACAGTGTAGGTATGGTAAGTCGATTTATGCACAAGCCAAATGTATCACATCTAACAGCGGCGAAGAGGATACTAAGGTATCTGAAAGAAACTCTCGAATATGACATTCTGTTTCCAGCCGCTGATAAAGGAAAAGAATGCAAGTTAGTTGATACATCGCCTCAAGTTGGTGTAGTAATGTTGAGGATCGAAAATTCACAATTGGTTATGTGTTTATGCTAGATGGTGCACCATTTGCTTGGAGTTCGAGAAAAGAACCAGTAGTGACACTATCATCATGTGAAGTAGAGTACATAGTTGATTCCCTTTGTGCATGTCAAGCAACATGAATTGTGAATTTGGTCGAAGAGATAACATGGAAAGATCATGGAGTAATTACCGTGAAGATCAACAACATGTCGATTATCAATCTGGCGCAGAACCCGATAACACATGACAGAAGTAAGCACATCGAAATGAGGTTCCATTATCTTCGAGAGAAGGTAGCAAAAGGGAAGGTGAACTTGGAACACTGCATAACTGAGAATCAGATTACAGACATCATGACGAAGGGAGTGCAGGTTGAAGTGTTCAAAAGACTACGAGCTATGATGAATGTAGATAGCTTAGACACAATGAATTAGGTGGTGTGTTAAAAGTAATTTCGTGTGTCGAAAGCAGCATGTTGCTCGACACAAGGTGTGTCAAAATAATCTATGTGTGTGTGTGTGTGTATGTTGAAGTGTCGAAGCAGGTTGTTTCACATAGGATTTTGACTTAGATCCAAAATAGGTATTTTGTATTTTGACTTAAAGAGCAAGCTAACCTAAAATTATAAATAGAGAGAGTAACTCTTATTTCGTAATTCATTGAGTATTCACAGAATTTGTAGTTGCAAGTGAATAAGAAGTTCTCCGCAGTTTGTGGCCAAAGAGTTACTCTGCAGAAAATAATATTCTTTTTCTTCATATTTTCGTAATCCCTAATTTTCTTTTTTCCTCAATTTTCTTTCTTTTTTCCTCAATTTTCTTTCTTTTTTCATTGTTAATGTGTAATGATAACAATCTTATTTATTAAGATTGATTAGAATTCATCATAAATTTTAATAAATTTTAAACCATTATTACATACCTCAAATACTAGTGCCAACAACACCCTTCCTATATTTTCCATGGTATCCATCAATGCTTTTAGTTGTTTTCGAGCATCTGCTCTTATAATGCGCCGTTCAGCGCATTGTAAAACAGTAACATCATGATGGCAGGCCACACACAAAGAGTTTTCAAATTGTCAAGTTTCCATTCACCTATAGAAATTATTAAATAAGGTCTAAAATTCAAACAACTAAAAATGTGTTTTTCTACAATCAGAAAAAATTACAGGGGGAGATAATCAGTAGAGAAGGAAGAGGACTCTATAAATGCCACAATCTATTTTTTATTTTGAAATTTATGCAAATATTCCAGAAGTTAACATCCAACATTTTAAAATTTTGAAAGTTAACATCCTAACATTGTAAAATTCTGAAAGTAATTGTCAAGATGGTAAATTACCCCTCGTCTTAAGTCAATAGTAACTACTTTGGGAGGCTGACATTTTGTGAGAGAGAAAAAATCTGTAGTGGTGCTAATAGTAGCGCCCCTACTACTTAAACTTATTTACTTTTTAATACAAGTATTACAAGTACAAGCAAGACAAGATGAATGTTTCCAATAAATCAAGATTTTAATATTGGCATTTCGTATGGGCACACGAAAGTATAAGTTGCAAGCATCAAGATGTTCATTTATTAGAATTACAAGTTACTACATTTAAAAATTGATATTGTAATTCTTCAAAAAGCATGTAGGATTGGGCTTCAAAAGAAATGACATCTCCAGCTTTATATACTAGAACAATGTGATCAACATGCCATGCATTTCCTTCATTGGATATTTGGCTAGGTTAGTGCACAAAGATAAAAGACGAGGATAAAATAGAAAAAGAGAGTAAAGAAAGATAAAAGGATTGTACTATCAAAATTACCAAAATTCGTAGATGAAAAATACTCTCATTCATTCATGTATTACATTTTCAATAAAACCTTAATTATAAACTAGTATATATACACAAAGTAAATTGTCACGTAAACACAAATAAATTTAATAGCTAAGTTTACTTAATAGCGAAGATAACAAAATAACTAGAATCCCAGAAGCTAAACATATTTCTGGAACACAACCTCAAAAGCTTCTACTTCTGACTAACAACCTCAAAAGCTCTACTGCTTCTAAGCAACACACTTCTGAGTAAAGGTCACACAAGCTTATGACTCTAACAACAACTTCTAAAAATGAATTACTTCTAATATCATCCCTTAATTCATATTCGACTAAGCGAAATCTACAACACCGATTTCATCCCTCAAACGGATAAAATGTTCAGTCTCGACAACTTCACATATCTAGAAGTACTTCTTCTGTCAACTCTGTCTCAACATCAATCAAGGTCTAAATAGCATATCAGCTCTGCATCAGTCTTTACATTAGAAGGGAATTACACTTCATACCCCATAGTCCCTTCAGTATCTTGCAACATGTCAAACTCTGTAAATCTCCTTGATATTTTTCTGATTCGTCGTGGTCTATAGACTTGTTCAGAATCTTATTCTAATTCTATAATCGTATCTATTTATGTACTTTCTTAAGAAGTTCTACTACCACCAGAAGCTCCACCTTTGTTAGCTTAAAAACCTCGTCCAGAACCACTACCTTCAGAAGTACCACATTTAAAAGTTGGATCGCCTTCAAAAGCTCTTCCTTTAGAAGCTTCACTTTCAAAATCATGACCACTGTAATAGGTTGGACTACCTTCTCAGAAGCTCCTCCTTCTGAAGATCCACCTTCAGAGACATGATTTCCACCATAAATATGATCATCTCCAAAAGCTTGTCCTCCAGAACCTACGTCTTCAGAGTTTTACCTTCCAGAAGCATGATCACCATCAAAGTCTGGATCATCGTCAAAATCTGAATCAAAATTAGATTCACCATCTGAATCATCTTTAGAGTCTTCAGAATCATCTTCTAACTCTACTCTTCTTCATAACTTTCAGGTTCTAACTCATCTTCAGAACCTTCTAAAGTATATTCAGAAGCAGATTATGACTCATCTTTTGATTCTCTTTCAGACTTAGAATCACCTTCGAATTCTAACTTGTCTTCAGCTTTAGAGTCATTTTCTGACTCTGGCTCATCTTCCAAAACCTCAGATTCTGACTCGTCTTCAGAATGTTCAGAGTCATCTTCTGATTCTGACTCATATTCTCCTAACCTTTTAAAATCAGAAAATGACAATCGAACAGGTTCCTCATCAGATTCATAATCTATCAATAGCACAAGTTCATCATTGTAATCTCATCTGGCTATTTTTTCTTCTTCTTTGTTTGACCAATAATCTTTAGCAAAGTGGCCAAACCAAACTCTGAACACAACCTCTGAACAAAGAGACTCTGGACTCTAAACTTCATTAGATTCTGAACCAAACTGAAGTCTGAAGAAGTGTTTCTCTGATAGTTAATCATCTGGATAATCAAGTCAATACTCTGTATCAAATAATCCATAATCCATCTGATAACTCAAGCCTCATTTTCACTAGACTCTGAAGCCTAAATCTGCAAGGCTTTGAATTCTAATCAATCTTCAAATCATCTTAAATACAAATCCAATGATTGAGAGAACAACAATTGAAAGAATATTCTTAAAGATATTGCATTCAAGCGGAAAAGTCAAATATTCCTTAAAAAGGACAAATATGTTAGAATTGTAAAAGGGCTGTACTACCAACAAATCTCTATGTTTTGTGGCTCAACCTCACACCACTACTACAAATGTGAAATTGATGAAGTTTTTATTTTCACTCTCCAATGGTACTATTTATTATCTTCAAAATTTATCCTCCAGTGGTCCTATTCTTCACCTATTTAAATAGGACAAGGAAATTTGAAGACAAACAAGAATTGTATACTGACACTACTGTGAAAAAAATTACTAAGAAAATCTTCCTGTGAAACAAATAGAAACCAAGAGAGAAACAAGACTCACTACACTTAGAGATTTTCATTGTATATTTTCTTAAATGTAAAGTCTATATTTCATATTGTGTATATGCTTGTTTAGAAGCATTATTATAAACACATAATCTTTGTATTGTAACTTTGATTGAATTCCTTGAGGGACTAGGTTTAGTCTGTAGTCTCGAGAAGTCATTGACAGTTTATCTTTGAGATTGCATTTTGTGAGGGACTAGGTTTAGTTTATAGCTTCGATAAATCATTGACAATTTATCTATGAGATTATATTCCTTGAGCGACAAAGTTTAGTCAAAAGCCTTGAGAAGTCATTGACAGTTGGTATTTGAGCTGTAATCTAATTGATTAGTGGTTTAAGTCCTTATTGAGAAGGAGAAATCATTCTGACGAGTGGACTGGATTAACTTAATTAAAAGTGAACCAAAATAAAAATCCTTGAGTATTTTTTTCATTGTTGAGTTTATTTTTGGGTCCGCAAAAATTAGTCATATTTGAAACCCAATTAAAACCCCCCATTTCTTGTGTTTCATTGAATCGTCAGAAGTCGGAGGCGAAGTTAGTTCCCTCATTGTCAAAGTAATCGTAGCATCTACAAGATGACCCACCTTGAGCATATGAGTTAAATCTTATGTAGTTCGGGGTGGGAGAAGAGGGCAAAGCGGGAGTGGGGGTAGAGGAAGAAGTTCCAATATTCACCATAGTCTGAATACCATGGGCATCGACAAGATTGTAGAGCATGTTCAACTTGCTTATCTTATCCATGCTATCTACAAAATGCAATCAAGCATGTAAAAAAAGCATGAAGACCTCACTCTAACGAATAACCTTCCTCTTCTCCTCAAGACTAATTGCTCTTAAGATATCATGAATATCAATATGCTTTTTCCTCACTTCACTAAGAGGCACCTCAATAGCACCGAACAAGTCCTCACAACCAAGTCCCTGAAACCAATATTGCATTCCCTCCTTCATTGTTACCTCATCCGGAGAAAAAGAACTCATGGATACAATAGGAGCCAACATCCTAGTTAAAGTGACCCATAAGAAGAAGTTCCTTCCTCAACAGAAGTCTCATACGTCCTTTCTGATCCAGAATTGTCAAATATGGATATAATTTCTAGTCCTGTGTGATCACTAATAAAAAGGGGTGCGGTGAACTGAGAGATGACCTAGGTTTCCACTTTATAATCACTCACTAAATCAACGTTGTTATCACTCATCTTGACTAAAAAGCAGGAATATTGAAGGAGAAGCTTGAGTTAAAAGAGTACATGGTTAGAAGAGATTGATGGAGTAAGAATGGTGAAAAAGGAGAAAGCTTTAAGAGAAACTTTGAATCACTCCTAATGATGTTCTCAGGAAAAAGGAACAAAGACATTTCTTTGGAAAAGTAACTGAAAGCTTGAAAGCTAAAAAGTTGTGAAAACTTCCAAATATTCATCTCATTCTATTTATAAGCAATGGCAGCTGAAGAATCAAGACCAACTATGAACAGAGACTACAAGATCAACGACTAGATTTCCAATTATGGATACACGCCAACTCGAGTACACTCAAGTACTCTCTAAATTGCATCATACTCTAGCTGATCACCTCACTCCAGGTGTCAAGAATGGATAGCGAAGCGTTTCGTTGATGAAAATGCTTTAAATGTGCATGTTTCTCATAACTTCTTCAAGAAACTGATCCCGATCGATTCAGTTTTATTCCACATCGAACTACGACATGGAGATCGATCAATGATATTTAAAGCCTCTACCGGCTCCTTTAGTGTTCGATAAAGCCTTGGGAGCAACTGTTCTAGACCGGCCAAAAGTTCAATCCATCTCAAATTCACTCTACTCGACCCAAAATATAAAAACAGTTCACATGCTATGAGAAGGTACACAATTTATGATCTTTAATTTCACTAATATTGAACTTTGAACTGAGTTGGGCATTGAAGTGTTAACGATGCAGGTCCGCCCCGCGCCAGTATAAAGGTGATCGGAGCTACTGTTCAAGATCTACCGTCATTCAATTCTGTTCATTTGTATTCCTTCGTGAAGTTAGAACATCCATTTCTAATTCCCAAACGAAACATATATGATTACATTTACTCTTCTCATCTTTAACATTAATAACTTCAGTGACTTAATGATCTCACACACACACACATATATATATATATATATATATATATATATATATATATATATATATATATATATATATATATATATATATATATATATATATATATATATATATATATATATATATATATATATATATATATATATATATACCACCTTTTTATTTCATTTTTTAGTATATCTTAATTGATTTTTTTTAAATATTAAATAAAAATATTTATATACTCTTTTATTTTAATTAAATATTATAAATTTATTTTTAAATAAACACTATAATTTCAATTCGTAGGTGTGCTATAAATTTACTTTTAAATAATCTTATCTGCTAGGTTATGGGATGAAGTCATTTCCTTGTCTTAAACCTAAATTACAATTTTATAGTCAAGCAAAGGACAAAACTGCCATTGTTTTATCACAAAAAGAGAAATTGAATACGTTTCTATTACTAATTTTTTATTCACAAGCACTATGCATTAAACAACAACTAGACAAATGCCAACGATGACATCTATGAAAACGAAGTTCGGGCACCATCTGTTACTTCCCACATACTATGCATGTAATTAATCTCACTAAAAATCTTATACTTCGTTTTAGGAACAATCATATAAAAATCTTATAATTATTAAAATTTATTTTAGTATTTTTAATTGTTTTAGATGACTTAGTTATTAAGTCTATTTTTTAAGATTTATGTGACTTTTTTGTGTGAGGGTATAAATAGGTTAGTTGTAAATGTCATAAACACAATGATAATATTTATTCTTTTTACAATTTTTACAACCGTCATTCTCTTTGCTCTCTCTCTTAAATATATTTTTTGTTCACTATTGATTCTATTGCACTAACAATTGGTATCTAGAGCTCTGGTTCTGATCCACAAGAAAATACGAGTGAAACGTGAGGCGTTTGTGTGATTGATTTTGGTTTTGTGTTCGTGTTGAATCTTGAATAAAATTTAAACATAATCACATTTTTTCTGATTCTGTGGGGTTAAGAAATATTGTGCATGTGAGATCTGAGTGAGTTGTACAAAGTTAAGATGAACGAAAATGGTAGTCTGAGTACCAAATTTTTTGTTTTTGATGGCAAGAACTGGAACAGATTGATGATTCAGATGCACGTGTTATTTGGTGCTCAAGATGCACTTGAGCTTGTTACCAATGGCTATGTTTCAGTTGCAGCAGATGTGACGGAAGAAATGAACAGAGAGACGAGAGAAATAAATATCAGAACGCGTTGTTCTACATCCATCAGTGTGTGGATGTGAATGTGTTTGAGAAGATTTTTTATTCGACGACGGCGAAGGAGGCATGAGACACGCTGGTCTGATGTTATGGTAGTGACGCATCAGTGAAGAAAGTAAAGCCCCAGTCCCTGCGAAAGCAATATGGGAATCTTAACATGAAGAATAATGATAAGGTTTTTGAGTACGTCTCTAGAGTGATTCTGATCACTAATGAGATGAAGACTTGTGGAGAAACCCTTTCCGAATAAGTAATCATTGAGAAGATATTGAGGTCACTTATTATTCAATTTGATTACATTGTTGTAGCAATTGAATATTCTAAAGATCTGGAAACCATGAGAGTAGAAGAGATGCAAAGCAGTCTAGAGGCGCATGAGTTGCATCTAACTGAAAGAACTTTTGATAAGGAAGTTGAGCAGGCTTTGAAGGCTTCTTTTGTCAAGAAGGACCATACGCATTCTTAGTCAGAAACCAATAATAGACGTGGTGATAGATTCCAGAAGTCAAAAACTTCTACTTCTGATGAGGAGAAACCTCAGAAGGGTAAGGAGATGTTTGACAAGAAGAAGGTTCAATGTTATTGTTGTAAGCAATTTGGCTATTTTGCTAAAGATTACTAGTCAAATAAGGGAAGGAGATCAGAAGAAGCAAATATAGCCAGAGGAGATCATGATGATGAACCTGTGCTATTGGTGGCTTCTGAGTCTAATTCAAAATGTTTGGCAGACTGGTGGTATATGGATACAGGCTATTCAAATCACTTGACTGGAAACAAAGAATGACTGATAGATTTTGATTCCAGAAGGAGGACACAAATCAAATGTACTGATGATAAGTACCTTAATGTAGAAGGTGTGGGAAATTTAAAAGTTAAAGTGAAGAATGGGAAGACCGTTCTGATCAAGGATGTTTGGTATGTTCCTGGAATTAAGAACAATCTGATGAGTATGGGTCAGCTCATTGAGAAAGGTGTCTCAGTTATTAGGAAGGATAATATCAAGTTGTATGATGCTAATCAGAAGCTGATTATGCAATCAGAACAAGGAAGCAATAGGACATTAAAGGTGAATGTGGAGACAACAGAAGCAGAATGTCTTAGTTTAGAAGACTCTGAAGCTGATAGTAAGCTGTGGCACAAGATATTAGGGCATCTGAACTACAGAAACCTAGGGCATCTGAGTTCCAAGAAGCTTGTGTGTGGCATTTCGAAGATTGTGACGCCTGAGAAGTCATGTGAGGTATGCATGAAAGGCAAGCAACCTAGATTGCCATTTGTGTCAGAAGTAGCCCCAAGAGCAAAACATGCTTTGGGAGTAGGGCATTTTGACGTGTGTGGACCATTTCCAGAACCTTCACTTGGAGGAAATAGATATTTTGTGTCCTTTGTGGATGAGTTCACAAGAATGACGTGGGTAACACTCATAAAGTTTAAACATGAGATGTTTATTGAGTTTCAGAAGTTCAAGATGAAGGCTGAGAAACAAAGTGGTCAAAAGCTAAAGATTCTCAGAACGGATTGTGGATGTGAGTATAACTCTACAAAATTCCATAAGTTCTGTGGTGAAAATAGAATTGAGCATGAGGTTACTGCTCCTTATACACCTCAACACGATGATCTTGCTGAAAGAAGAAACCATACCTTGCTTGATATGATCAGAAGCATGCTGAAAGAGAAGAAGCTCCCTCATAATTTATGGGGAGAAGCTGTAGCCACCTCAGCGTATGTGCTCAACAGGTGTCCAACAAAGAAACTGAAGGAAATTGTTCCTTTAAAAAAGTGGATTGGAGACAAGAAAAGTGTTAGTCATCTGAAGTTGTTTGATTATGTATGTTACAAACACGTTCCAAAAGTTAGAAGGAAGAATTGAATGATAGAAGCAAAGTAATGATTTTGGTGGGGTACCACAGTACAGGTGCATACAAGATTTATTATCTAGAAACAAATAAATTTGAAGTCAGCGAGACGCCATTGTAAAAGAATTAGAAGTATGGGATTGGAGCAAGTCTCAATCTAATTCTGAAGATAAGTCAGAACTTGATAATTCTGAAGAAGAGTCAGAGTCAGATGATGATTGTGGAAACTCTGAAGATAAGTCAGATTGTGAATCTAATTCTGATCTAGATTTTGATGATGATGCAGAATCTGGTGGTGGTCATGCTTCTGGAAGGGAAAACTCTAGAGATGTAGGTTCTAGAGGACAAGCTTCTGAAGATGATCATGTTTCTAGTGAAGGTCGTGATTTTGAAGGAAGAACTTCAGAAGATAGAGGTTCTGAAGGCGATCTAACTTCTGAAGATGGTCAAGTATCTGATATTGTTCTATAATCAAAAAGAGTTTCTGAACAAGTTCAGAGACCACAAAGAATCAGACAAATACCAAGAAGTTTTAAAGAGTTTGATATGTTGCAAGACACTGAAGTAGATTCAGAAGGAGAAATTGTTCAGTGTGCCATATTAGTAGACTTTGAACCTGTGAGTGTTGAAGAAACTCTCAAGAAGAAAGTAATGATTGAATTCCATGAAAGAAGAACTTGAGGCTATATAAAGAAACAAGACTTGGAAGTTGACTAAGCTTCCAGATAAGAAGAAAGCAAGGTTAGTGGCTAGAGGTTTTCTTCAGATATAAGCCTGATGGATCAATTGGCAAGCACAAAGCAAGGCTAGTGGCTAGTGGTTTTCTTCAAAAACCTGGACTAGATTACTTTGAGGTGTTTGCGCTTGTATCTAGACATGAAAAAATCAGACTGGTTATTATTTTAGCTGTAAATAGAAACAGGTCTTTGATGCATCTGGATGTGAAGTCTACATTTCTGAACGATCCATTACAAGAAGAGGTATACGTGTCACAACCTTCTGAATTTATGAAAAAGAATCAGGAAGGGATGATGTACAAGTTACATAAAGCTCTGTATGGACTGAAGCAAGCGCCCAGAGCTTGGAATTTGAAGATTGATTCATTTTTAAGAAGAAAGGTTTTGAGAAGTGTGAGATGGAGTATGGCGTGTATGTTCAACATTCTGAAAGCAATATGATTCTGGTATGTCTTTATGTTGATGCCATATTGCTAATGGGAAGCTGTTCTGAAGAAGTTGCCAAGTTCAAGAAGACTCTGATGAATGAGTTTGAGAGGACTGACCTAGGGACATTGATTTACTTTCTATGGTTGGAGGTATTGTACTCTAAAAAGAGTATAATTTTGCATCAACTGAAGTATTAACTTGAGCTTCTGGAGAAATTCAAGCTGGAGAATTGTAAGGCCGATGTTACACCGTCAGAAACCAATCATAAATTGGATTCTGACTCTGAGGGTAAAGACGTAATTGTTACAACGTTCAAGCAGTTGGTAGGTTCTCTGAGGTATTTGTGTAATACCAGACCTGATATTTGTTATGCGGTTGAATTGGTTAGTAGGTTCATGAGTAAACCTAAGTGGTCCCATTACCAAACTGCTGTCAGGATTCTGAGGTATATCAAGGAAACTCTGAAGTTTGGAGTATTATTCTCTTCTGGAAGAAAGACATATTTAAAGTTGATGAGTTACTCTGATTCTGATTGGTGTAGAAATAGAGTTGATAGAAGAAGTACTTCTGAATACTTGTTTAAGTTTCTGGGAGGTCCTATTTCTTGGTGTTCCAAGAAGCAATCTGTTGTTGCTCTATCAACGTGAGAAGCTGAGTACATTGTAGGTGTTATAGTTACGTGTCAAGTTGTGTGGCTTTTGAATTTATTGCAAGATTTGAATATCAACGTTGTTAAGCCTCTGAAGCTGATGATTGATAACAAGTTTGTAATCAATCTTGCCAAGAACTCGGTACTACATGGGTGAAGCAAACATATTGAGACAAAATATCATTTTCTCATAAGTCAAGTCTAAAATGGAGTACTAAAAATTGTGCACGGTAGCACCCAGAAGCAGATGACAAATATCATGACAAAGACAATCAAGACAGATCAATTTCTTCGCTTAAGAGATAAAATTTGTGTAATTAATTTTAATTATAAATTCTAAAATTAAAGAATAGTATTAAAATATATTTTAAATTTCTAATTGTTTTAGATTATTTAATTATTTAATTTATTCTTTAGAATTTATGTGACATTCATTTTTGTGTATAAATAGATTAATTGTAAATGTCATAAACACAACAACAATATTTATTTCTCTTACAACTTTTATAATAACCAATCTCTTTGATTTTTCTCTTAAATATATTCTTTATTATTCTTGCACTAACAATAATAATATAAAAACAATACACGTTTTTTACGAGTAAAGATTGTACAACTAAGCATAACACATGGAGTATTTATTTATTAGCATAATCATCAACTGACAGCCAGTAGCCAAGACAGATCACCAATACTTCCCTTTTAAACTTCCAAGTTATATGCAGTATTCGGAAACTCCGAGAGAATTCCATTGACTTATTTATCCCTACCATTTTCATCAATTTACTTAACTCTCCTTCGTCGCCGAGCGCGGGAAATGGAAACGGCACTGGAGGATCACCGAGGAAGTTCCGGCGAAGTGGAGGAGAAAGTGTTCTTCGGGAGTGATAAATTCGCTGATTCTTCGTCCAACAGTTGGAATACTATTCTGGCTTTGTCATTATGGCTTGGAGCTATCCATTTCATTGGAGCACTCACTCTCTTCGCTCTCTTCTTCCTTCCTTTCTCCAAAGCACTCCTGTAAGTAGAATCACGGCGTGCAATTTGATTTGTCGTATATTTGGTTCTGCGGTTAAAAATATTGATTTTGAGTTAATTGGTTTTGATTGAAAGTGGGTTGAATATAATTTAAAACCATGCTCCTTAGAGTGCCTTAATATGTGTTTGAATTCACAGAGAGTTTAGTGGAATCAGAGTGTGTGGCTATTTTATCGAAAATTAAACTTTTTAGTGTGTGCCTTAATTGGTGATATGTTAATTTAGTTTTTGTGACTTTTGGTTTTGAATGCAGGGTTTTTGGTTTGCTTTTCGTGTTAATGGTGATTCCTATTGATGAAAAGAGCGTATATGGTCGAAAATTAGCAAGGTACACTTTTCTGTTTTGTTCCTTTTTTCTTCTTCCTTGTGTTTTTCTCCATATTCCTTTTTTTATTTGATGCAAAACTTGAGTATATCCTTTTTATGGTTATATTTCAGGTATATATGTAAGCATGCTTGTAGTTACTTTCCAGTCACGCTTCATGTAGAGGATATAAAAGCTTTCCATCCAAATCGTGCATATGGTTTGTTCTTTCTAATCAACTAACTATTTGAACTATTTGTAATATTAATTCAATTCAGTGAGAAAAAAAACTAAACCGAATCGAAGCCAACCAGAAAATAGTTCTGTTAGTTAGAACCATTTGCTTACAAATTTTAAGTGAGATTATTGTTTGATAAAATTGAATATCTAGAAACTCATTGAAATTAACAACAGTATGGTTTTGATGCAGTATTTGGTTATGAACCACATTCAGTTTTGCCGATTGGAGTTGTTGCACTAGCCGACAGCACAGGTTTTATGCCTCTTCCAAAAATAAAAGTTCTTGCAAGCAGTGCAGTAAGGCTTTTACTTGAGGTTTTGAATCTTAATGAAATTTATTAAGGATGAAATTCTATATGTTTTTTACTTCACATTTTGATAAATAGATATTTTACACACCGTTTTTGAGACACATATGGACATGGTTGGGTCTGACAGCGGCATCAAGGAAAAACTTTACCTCCTTGCTGGATGCAGGCTATAGTTGCATCTTAGTACCTGGTGGAGTTCAAGAAACATTTTTCATGGAGCATGATAGTGAGGTACATTGTCTTTTCGCTGCCTTTCTTCCCGACATCTGGTTGGTTTGTATCTTTTCTATTGCTTAGCTGTAATTAGCTGTCAATGCAATTTCAACTACCTTGGTTTGTTCCGGCATGGTAAGTTATGAATGATCTCACTATAAGCCTAATCCTAATGGAGTAACCTATGTAGCACTGTTACCTCAGATTACATTGACACACGTAGTTACATTCAATCACTTCTATTTTCTTAAATTATCACTGGTGTCTACGTGCCAGTGCTTGTGTTGTGTCTATGTCAGTGCTTCATTGGTTGTAACTTCTTCAAGTGACTTATTATAATCTCAGAACTCAATGTTTAGATTCTCTGAAGTCTAATAGACTTGCTCCTGGATTCTGTAATGAGACTAATAAGCAAAACAGAAAAATGAATCAGTTTATATTCATATATAGTTTAATGTTCTGAATTCTATCTCCCTATGATACTCTTGGATTTAGCTCTTCTTCTTCATCATCCGTACAATATGTACATTACTCTTTTTATTATGTGTCGTATATACATATATAGATTAACAATATCAACTAATAACAATCATTTACTTTCTAGATAGCCTTTCTCAAGGCAAGAAGAGGATTTGTCCGCATAGCAATGGAGACCGGAAAACCACTTGTTCCAGTTTTCTGCTTTGGACAGGTTTTTCTTTCTTTATTTATTTATTTATTGTTCAGGTCTCTTCCATTCACATGGACCTCATGCAGAATGTCACTTTAATGTTGCTAATATTGTTTTTTCATTATCTTTGTTCATTCAAATTAACATTCATTTTTTGATGCAATCTCTCTAGTCAAATATTTATAAGTGGTGGAAACCAGGCGGAAAGCTAATTCTGAATTTTGCGAGGGCTATCAAGTTCACCCCGATATATTTTTGGGGAATTTTCGGGTACATGTTTACTATTATATGTCAACTTGCATCCTGCATGTGATCGGTTATCCTTGTAGAGTGATTTTGTAGTTTGTTGTTTGGAATTATTGATTTGAGGATGATAGTAGTTAGTTGATTGATACACAAGTTAGTGTTCCATATCCGTAGAACTACATTTTAACGCAGATTATCTCTTTTCCTCGTTAGATCTCCAATACCATTCAAACATCCCATGTATGTGGTGGTGGGTAGACCAATTGAGCTTGAGAAAAATCCAAAGCCAACGCCGGAGGAGGTATATCTATACACGACTATCATACACCTTTTATGTTAAATAGTGTAAATAAATTTGAACAGCAGACTACTGCTTTCTGTCATCTCTTTTATGTCATTCATTGTCATTGTTTCAGGTTGCTAAAGTGCATACTCAGTTTGTTGAAGCACTTCAAGATCTTTTTGAGCGGAACAAAGCTCGAGTTGGATATTCAAACCTTCACTTGAAAATTGTTTGACAAGGCCACAACTTCAACAATCTATCTTTTTTCACCCGAAACTTACTTGTGCCTACACATCTGGATAGATTAAAAATGTAAAATATATGATTATATTGAAGAAATGTAAAATATATAATGAAGAAGGGTCTCTCATCATTTGATACAATTGGTTTAGATTAATGAAAAATATAAATGTATTGAAGAACTCTATGTACTCATGTGTGGCCGGTCTTGATTTTTTAAAGGTCCAGAGGACAATTAATAAAAATGGATCCATAATAAAAAATTAAACAATTAATTTTAAATATTGATTTTCATTTTTTAAATTCTTTTTTATATTAAAAGTTAATAATTAAGAAATAATTATATATAAATATAACAGGACAAACGGTAAAGAATTGGATTAGTTTGGTTAATCATGATAAAACTTGAATTATTCATTTGTATAAAGTTCGATTTCATTTGACATTATTTATAAAACTATTCAATAATTCTTTTTTTAGAGATTTTGTTGACTGAAATTTTTTTATTATTTTCATTGTTTGAAATATATATTTTCTTTGATAAAGTTTCTTCATTAACATATAATCTATCTTCGAAACATATATTTTTAATTATTTTTTATAAATTAAAAAAATAATTTTGATATCTAATTATTTAAATAATTATCATTAAAGATTTTGATATAATTAAAATCGCATAAATTTTTAAAAGGAAATATCTAAAAAATAATCTTTTTAAAAATAATTATTAAAATTAACATTAAATTTAAGTATTATTTTAAAATTAAAAAATTATAACAGAATAATAAAATATTTAAAGTAATATTAGAAAATTAAAATAAACTATACTTTTTTTATTATAGGATCCAAATTTTTAAAATATACTTTTAAGTAATTTATAAATACCCTAAATTATCATGTAGATTAATTTGTAGTTTGAAAATGAGATTATAGGATCAATTTTGTTGTTGAATAAAAACAAATGAATCATATGAAATATCTTAAAATATTTTAATAATTTTAATATTTAATATTTTAAATATTTTTTATTAAAATTTTTAATATAATCAAAAAATCACATAATATATATTTTTTTAATTTATTTAAAATAATATATATATATAAATCACATAATATATATATATATATATATATATATATATATATATATATATATATATATATATATATATATATATATATATATATATATATATATATATATATATATATATATATATATATATATATATATATATATATATATATATATATATATATATATATATATATATATATATATATATATATATATATATATATATATATATATATATATATATATATATATATATATATATATATATATATATATATATATATATATATATATTTAATTTATTTAAAATAATATTAAATTTAAGTAATGTTTTAAAATATAAAAAATTATAACAAAAGAATATAATATTTAAAATAAACTACACTTTATTTATTATAAAATTATACTTTATTTACTATCAGATCACAAACTTCTAAAAGATAATTTTGTGATTTTAAAATGAGATCAAATTTAAGATTTAAATAGCCAACTTTATTGTTAAATAAAAATTTGAATTGCCAAAATAATAATATGGGTCTCAAAGGACATGCATATCATGTGTTCAGGAAAACACAAGTCCACTCACTTTGGCTGGCTATCCGCTACGAAAATAAATACGTAATGTATTGTTTTTATTATTATTTTTTAATCCTATTATTATTTTTAATATGTTATTATTAATTTGCAATGCCCACCACTAAATATTGAGGCTTCCTTTTTTTAGGCTCTGGATTGTAAGCTTCTTTGCCCTAGTCTAGGATCGGCTCTCTGTGGTATATTTCTAAGATTATATTTGGATTGATGGAACATAATTGAATAGAGTGAAATGAAATATTATAAAGCAGAGTGGAACCGAGTAAAACGGAATATAAATCTCACTCTATTATTTAATTATTTTATTTAAAATGTCTCATTTCATCTCATACACCCCAAATTGGGTGAAACAAAAAAAAGAAGAAGAGAAATTAGATAAAATTCTCTGCAATACAAAATTTACCTTCTCATATGATTCTTTCTCTACAAACTCAACCCTTACATATTTATTGTTCTCAATTGCATGTCCTTGTCCTTCCTCTTCCTCTTCTTTTTCTTCCGTAACAACAACGACTGTCCTTGTTGAACAAACATTTGATATATGACTTATTCCATTACAATAATAACAAGTGTCTCCAGTGGATTTAGTATATTGATTATTCTACCTCTGGACTAGTGTTTTATCCTGCTGCACACTGCTAGAGTTTCTAGTCTCTTTATTCTCAGGGTTGGAATCCCTAATTATTGCACTCTTTTCCTTGTCGCTTGTTGATTCAATGTTATTATGGGGCGATTACCTAAAAGATGAGAAATTTAGAAGGGATTTCTCCATTAATTATGCTTCAAAGCTAAAATTAATGCCTCAACTACGATCCATACATTATGTAAACCCATCTTCTCCTGCAAGGATCCCTTTGGGTCGTTGATGTACCGAGTCACTTTCTGGCTCTCTGATTCTCCCAATTCACTGCGCTTAGAAAAATGCATAAACTCATCTGTATATCCAGTCACAGTTGTCCTGCCCTAAACATACTCAATATACATCTTATAAAGAATTTGTTCCTAATCCTCCGGTAAAAACTGTTCCATGGATCCAACTTATTGTGATATGGTTAGTGAACAAGAATAAGTGCAATACAACCAAACACACTATATTATGAGAACAAAGAGAAAAACATGAGGGCATACTTTTTTTTTGTATAAACTCTAATATATTGAAAAAAAGAAGTGAATAAACAAAAAAGACTGAGGGAACTATTCTAATACCAACTCAATAAGTTATGAACCTAAAAAAAGTGTACTTGTCAAAAGTATAGGTGTGTATGTCCCCCCTATAAGGGCGGGGAGACTCAAAAGCCTTAGTAGGTTTACAATAGTTTATGGTGGTAGGTCTTACCCACGGTGGCGAGAAGTCATGAACAATGGTGTTTTGATGTGATTTAAGAGACATGCTCACGTGAGGTAAGAGACTCTGCTGATGATCGGTGATGCTTGGTAGCAAGACTATAATACTGGAGGTCGTGTATTAAGGCTATAGTGAATATGGTGCTCTTCAGAGTGTAAAGAATATGTATCACTTGGGGTCTATCACTGTGAGTTATGATCCCCCTCTCTCCTTGAGAGGAGATGTATTTATAAGGGCCTCTAGAGCCCAGAGTTTTCTTAGAAAGGGTCACCATCCACTTAATCAATGATGGACAATTGAATCTCTATTTCCAATGGATTCATGGGTCAGTTAATGGCCTTGAATTTCTCTCTACCTGAGAAACGTCTCTTCCCATGTTTTAAATTTAGGGGAAAATGATGACTATTGGGCGAGGTAATACCTCTCACTGGGCGACCTTCTATCATTGCCTCATCTAGGGTGGTCCAAGGCCATCGCCTTATGTGAGGCCTTTTACAAATATAACACTACATAGTCCCTCAGGAACGAGGAATTTGGTAGAAGACGAAGTGTCTTTTCAATCACGGCTTATAGGAGTATCCCGAGAACCAATACTTTCTCTCGCAAGGTCTTAACTATCTTAGGAAATTCGGATGAAAAGACACCGAACCTCTCAGGTGAGGGTTTAATTATCTTGGAGAATCCAAGTCTTCTCATGAGACTCTCAGGAGACTATCAATCCCTTAAGCGACACGTTTTACCTACTTGGGCGGGACTTATGTTAAACCCTCGGTTGTCAAGTCTCTCATGTTCAATATATGTTACACATCTTAGGTGTGACCTTTGAGTTATGTTTCGCCTGAGGAAACACTAAGTCTCTCAGGAGAGGATTTAATTACCCTGGAGAATCTATGTCTTCTAGGCAGAATTGTATATAGCTCGACTGATGAGACTATCAGCCCCTCAAGTGAGGATTTAATTAGCCTGGAGAATTTAAGACTACAGGGTAAGGTGATGCCTCCTTTTAGGCGACCTTCTATCGTCGCCTCTTCTAAGGTGGTCCAAATTCATTGCCCTAAGTGAGGCCTTTTACAATTACAACACAACAAAAGGCATTTCTAACCTATTATTTAAAAAATCATGCTTAATGCTCAAAATAATGAAATTAAAAAAAGTTAAAGGAAGAAGAGGTGCAACCAATATTAGCAACAAAATTCACAACTTTTTTTAATATATATGTGAGAAGTAAAAAACGTCATGTTAGATAATATCAAATCAACATTACCATTTGGCTCTAAGTTGCCAAAGCACCAAATCTAACTTGGTATTAACAAAATCCTTGACCAGTGTTAGAGAATATGATTCTATCCAAAGTTTCTTCTAAGATTTATCTTTAGGAATTTAAATTTCTCTAATAACACCACAAGATTCAACGAGAAAAGAGTTCTCCCAACATAAAGGTTCGGAAAAACCACATATGAAATTACGGATATGGATCCTCTGCTGCACAAGTCTCTCCAACCCTCCCTCATGCTCTTTCATGTGTTTATCTCTCTCATCTCTTCATTTTAATTTTAATTTTTTGTTTTTATTTTATCACACACATAAGACCAATGTTGGACTCCTGTTAGGCAACAGGGAATCCAAATCCTGAAATTACATGTATTGTCTCTTAAGTTTTAAGTTTAGGCCAAACTAACCTATATCATGGCTGCCTTGTAGGATCATTAATGGGAATAACCCACCTTCTAAAAAAGGAAAAAATATCATGCAAAATTTAAGGAAAAAATCAAATATTATTATGGAAGAAATAAACAACACGACTATCGAGGCTAATAGAGCGAGCTTCAAAAATGTCCATATCCCTATCTTTTGACAGCAGCTCCTCGTATCATGAATCCTTCCAAAAATTAATCGTATTACCATCTCCAAGCATCCAACAAAAATATCTTTTATTGTATTGAATCTAGGTTTAACTCAATATATATAGATGAGAAAA